TTGAACTTTTTTTTTAGGTTAAAATCAACTGTATAATTTTTTAAACTTAAAACAATTAATTAAAAACCTTTACCAATTTTTTTTTTAAATTAAAATCAACTGTATAAATTTTTAAACTTAAAACAATTAATTAAAAACCTTTATCATTTTTTTTTTAAATTAAAATCAACCGTATAAATTTTTAAACTTAAAACAACTAACTAAAAACCCCTTTACCATTTTTTTTTTTTAAATTAAAATCAAGTGTATAATTTTGTAAATTAAATGTAAAATTATGAATAAAAAAAATTAACTGTATATTTTGGTATAACTTATATCATAATTATCACATCACTGTTTTCAATATGAATAATAAAGATATTTGAAAGATAATAAAAGAAAAATTGAAAGGATTTGACTTACCAGGTTGGTCAGACTCTTCAACCGGTTTAGGTTGGAAAAGTTCCTTGAAGTGGGGTTTACAGTAAAGAGTACTCTCATGGCTCTCATAATTGTCTACGTTAAGCTGCTTGCTGCACTGTATGCACCGGAAGCAATTCTTATGCCAGACCAGACCCTCGGCCTTTGTTTGTTCCATTTGGAACACGACCTTGTTGCAACTGCGGCAATTTTGGTTTGCCGCCTCGCCATTTTGTCCAACCTAAATTATAATCGATCGAAATCATGCGAACATTTTTATTTTTTATTTTTATTTCACTTTCACACGAAATTTTATTATAAGTATTTTTTTTTTATTGTTATATTATTAATGTGTATATAATTTTTATCGTTATATGTAAATAATAATAATAATAATAATATTTTTATGCATTAATATTTATGTTGTACTTATTTTTTGGTTTTTGTTTCAATAGTTTTTTCGTATTTAATTATTATACAGGTTTATGTGAAATAGTATTATTAATATTTTTTGTATATATGTTTAAAATCATATTTTTATGTTAAAAAAAATAAAGATAGTAATTAATAATAATAATTATTATTATTATTTTATTTCTTTCGAATAATTATATTTTAAATTATTATAAAATTTGTTTATAGTAATAAAGTTTCATATGCATATATGACAGACTGTAAAATAAATTTATTATTCTAATATATGTAAGTAAAAATATAACGAAATGAATTTGTTTGCATTTAGAAAAACTCACGGCATTTAATTGTTGTTGCACTTTTCCTGCATCCACCGAACGAACATGGAGGACCGTTTTTTTGCTTAGAGCGTCGAATTTGTTGAAACTCGATTTCTGTAAATATATATAACAAAATAATGTAAATAACAAATTATCAATTGCAATTATCGAACATTTGTTAATGTTCGAATAAACATATTTTGTTTATAATGATGGTGTTCACATAGACTATTATCCCCATAGAAATTGGATACAACAAATGCAAAAAAAAAAAAAAAGAACAAATATAATCTATGGAGACATATTGTTGTTTTAATTAAACAATCTTATTCTGTATAATAATATTTTAGCGTAATTTTAATATCAAATTTATGATCAACGTTCACAATGATTTTGACATAAACAATTTCTAACGATATATACATAAACAATCCTCTATATGTGTTATATATTATAAACATTTAGTAATTTCAATAAATAATTATATAAATATACATCTAATTAATTTAAACAACAAAATTTGTTCAAATATCATTTAGAAATTAATTTTATATGAACGAACGTGAGTATATAATATTTCTACGAATTATTTAATACTATAAAAATCATACAATTTTAATTAATATAAATATAGATATAGTATAATAATTTATGGGGGGAAAAAAAAATTATTAAACATTAAATACATGTGTATATAAAAATTTACCATTAGGATGATAAGTAAATACATATTACGAGATATATAATAATTTATCATACATTAGATACATATACAACATTTATATATAAAGTATATAATAATATAATATAATATATATTGAATTGTTTCATAAAATTATTTCAATTATATTTGTAATATTAATATTTTATAATTTAATAAATATTTTTCATTAAAATAAAAATTTATTTTTATAGAAATTATGAAAAACCTTAGAGTAGTTTTTAATTCTTTTTTTTTAATTTTTCCAATTACAGTTATATAATTGTCATAATTACCAACACACATATATATTATATATATATATTTTTTTTTAATTTTTTTAAGTAGATGATAATGACGATGAAAGCCTCCATATTGATATTTTTAAATATTAGCGTAAAGCGAGATAATATTAGGTTAGAAACTACATGATTGCGGATTTTGTCGATAGATGGCTTTTTCAAAATCAGCCATTTGCAAATGATTGCAGATTTTGTCGATAGATGGCTTTTTCAAAATCAGC